GCCAGCCCAGGGTTGCTGGCTGCAGCTCTGTAGAGAAGGTGGACATGGAGTCCAGGCCCTCCTACTCACTGTGTGATCTGGAGCAAGTTACGGCATCTAACCGTGATGCCTACTCAGAGAGCTGCTGAAATGAGTAGGTGAGGTATGAATGTTTAAATTGACAAAACAAGAATACCCGGGGGGTTGGTGGTGGCCGTGCCTGACGCTAGGGGGCAGAGTGTGCACTCAGCCCACACGCGTGGCCGAGCACCTGCTATGTACAAAGCAGTGTTTGTGTGAGCCCCGAGCTGCCATGAGAAATGAGGAACCCCCATGCCGAGGAACGGCGCCCACAGCACTGGCTGTGAGACAGTATGGCTGGTGCAGTGGGAGCAGGCTGTCTGGGGCCACTGAGGTGGTGACATGTGAAATGGGGTCCAGGGCAGTGGACAGAGAGGGAAGCCATGAAATCAAGCAAGATTCCTGGTCTTTGTATTTGAGCAGTTAGGCCGATGGTGCTGCCATAAGCTGGAGACGAGGAGGAGAGAAATGGGGGGGGAGGTGCTATCACCCCAGGACCCCTTCCCACACCCCAACACACCTCAGTGAGGAAGCGAAGCTGGGAGGAAGGCTCCAGACCCCTGGGCTGTCCACTGGAGAATCCCAGGAGATCACCTAGTGCAGTGTTGGGCTGTGGGCTACGTCCCAGTGGAACAAGATTCATAAAACTCCAGGTCACACGTGTTGGAACAAACATGGGAGGACAGGGTGGCTTTGTAGGGGCCCATGCTTCTCACTCTCTTGTTATGGCTCCGGGTGCTCAGACTGGGAAGTCTGGTCCCACCTGCCCCTCCCATCAGCCCCTTGAGTCCTGACTCCTTCTGACTCTGGTACTCAAGAGGGCTGGCAGAAACCATGAAAGGAGGGCCCGAAGGAGGAAGTTTGGAAACAGGGCCGGGTCCATCACCCACGTTCCACACATGGGAGAACACACCGAGATCCAGAAAAGGACTGAGATTTCCAAGGTCAGTCAGGCTCTGGGAGCAGGATCCGCTGCAGGGCCCTGACTCACAGGCCTCCTTCTTTTTAGCCCCAGGTGGAGGCACCACCCCTGCCCACCCACCTACGACCTCCGTGAGTCATCGCTGCCTGCCTGGGGCACCCAAAGCCAGGCCCCAGGGCCAGCTTTCCAGATCAGCTGCCAGGGGAAACTTCAAGTGCAGCCCACACCTGGAAGGAAAGCCTGTCCCCCCACCCCCACCCCCACCCCAATGGATAGCCCTCTTTAGTGAGGGTGGCCCAGGAGCCAAGGGCTGGGGCACTGGGGACACTGTCCCCAGAGACCTGGCACATGGGAGAACACACCGAGATCCAGAAAAGGACTGAGATTTCCAAGGTCAGTCAGGCTCTGGGAGCAGGATCCGCTGCAGGGCCCTGACTCACAGGCCTCCTTCTTTTTAGCCCCAGGTGGAGGCACCACCCCTGCCCACCCACCTACGACCTCCGTGAGTCATCGCTGCCTGCCTGGGGCACCCAAAGCCAGGCCCCAGGGCCAGCTTTCCAGATCAGCTGCCAGGGGAAACTTCAAGTGCAGCCCACACCTGGAAGGAAAGCCTGTCCCCCCACCCCCACCCCCACCCCAATGGATAGCCCTCTTTAGTGAGGGTGGCCCAGGAGCCAAGGGCTGGGGCACTGGGGACACTGTCCCCAGAGACCTGGTTCTGTGTTAGCACTGGGAGTTTGGCCGCCTAACTTCTATGCCAGTCATAGCTTCCTTCCAGGGTATATGGCAGGGTGGGCACAGCTGCCAGAACTTTCCCACCAACCTGCAGAGGACAGGCTCTGACACATGAATAGCTACTTAGCATGGAAAAACCTCCATGAGAGGCTTTGGCCCTACATACCACATTGCACACAGAATCTTACTGGGCATAAACCTTCCAGATGCTGACCTGGCTTCCTTTGTGTCTCTCCCACCCAAGGACCCCTGCGGATTTTCAGTACCTCCCACTCACTCCCTGGGATCACTTCCTGTCTCTCCTTTGGCTTAATCAGAGGGTGAGGGTGAAAGGGCTTGCAAGCAGAAAAACCAAGCAGAGGAACAGAGGAACCATCTAGTAATAATAAGTGCCCATGAATAAAATATTCCCACTCCGGAGTGCCCATGAGACCAGGTAGATGATGGGCCTGCTGCCTCCCACTCCCAGCCCCCAGCAGGGGCTCGGTCTCACTGTGGGGGAAATGCAACAGGAGGAGGGGCCCAGGAAACACTGGGCATCGACTCCCAGCCCAGTGGACATGCTGTGCTCACGCTGGTCCTGCACCCGCCGTATTCCCTGGATCTGCACCCGCCGTATTCCCTGGATCTGCCTCCTCCAGTACCGCGCATCCTGTCTGGGGCTTGATACTAGTCAGGGACATTGTGTGTGCAAGTGTAGACATTGACACTCAGGGGCTCGTGGGTCAGGCCCCAGAGAGGGCAGGGAGCCAGCACAGTACCTAGACACTTGACACTGTCCTGCCTCTTTCGAGTAGTGTTATTTTTATAGGCGTCTCCATGGGTTGGGAGGACACCAGTGACCCTGGGGGCACATCCTCCTATGCTTGCCCCATTTGAAAAGTCCCAGGGAAAGACTACAGGTGGTTCACCATGGGTTACTTGCCCACCAGCCAACGCACCCAGTGAGTAACCCTCTTCCTTGCCTCGGCTTCCCATATCTACCTTCCCAGGAAGCTGGCTGGGCCCCCGGGACTGGGTTGCTGGGCAGGAAGGTCCAGAGAACTCTCTGCCTGGCCCAGCGCTCCCAGCCACACCTCTCGCCCTGTCACTCAGAAACCTGCTGGGCCGTGCCAAGCATACACAAGCACGGTACCACAGGGCTGGCCGTGGGCATGCAGCAAGGTTGTTCTCGGGACCTGCTGGGATATTGGCTGGGACAATGGGGATCATCTTGCTCTTTGATCGGGAGTATTGTCCTACCTCTCAGATAAATGAGTGAATAAGCACACAGGGTGTATCTGGTGCCTGGGCTCAGATGGACCTCATTGGCCTAGTTTGGGTTCTTCTAGAAGCCGACCCTGAGACAGGAGTATACTTGGGAGGTCATTTCAGAGCTGCAGAGACCTCTCTGGGGCAGGGACCTATAGAAGGGAGGGAAGCCAGCGAAGGTGGGCTACCACTTTGGGCAGCTGGGCTCAGTCCTCTGGGGACCCCCCATGGAACTGTCTCAGAATTGCCTCCCTGGAGAGCAAGGAATCTGAGGTGCCCCAGATTCCATCTGTCTTGGGCCCCAACTCTTGAACTGTAGCCTGGCTCACATTCAGGAGCAGAGAGCTTCCTAGGTAGAGGCCACAGGCCATGCGGTCTGAGGAGCCCTCTGCAGGCAAGCTCAAGGGCGGGAGGGGATAGGATGGGGCTACATCACAGTGACCTCAGATTGTGCACAGCCTGGCCTAGGTAGCGCCGTGGGTCCCTCCAGCAGGATCAAAAGCCTGTAGTCAGAGGCTGGCCTGGGAGTCCCAGCCCTGCCGCTCACCATCTGTGACCGACACGACTGCCGTCCTCTCCACAGCCTTCACTTTCGGCGCCTGCAAGACGGGTATGATACTACTTAGTGTGACCACGGCTAGTTAGCTACTGCTGCAGCCGTGCCACCCTAAACTCAGTCACTTCATACAGGGGCATCAGAGATCCAGGGTGGGCCCAGCTCTGTGCTGTGTCCCAGGTCGTCCTGGGTGGTAGAGGCCCGAGGGCCAAGTAGAAACATGCAAGGCCTCTGAAGGTGCCAGCACACCACCAGCCCCGTGTCATCCCGTGGGCTGAAGCAAGTGTCCTGGCCACACTCAAAGTCACATACTCTGCCTCTAAGGGGAGGGACTGCGAAGACGCAGGAAAGAGCGTGGATGCAGGGAGGGGTGAAGAACCCGGCCAGCCACTGATGCAGGTTCCCACGGCCCCCTCGTGAGAGGGCTGAGACGTTCTAAGGAAGGTGGTGTGTGCGCACAAGCATCCTTCACACTAAACCGTTGTACACATGTGCAAGGCAGCAGTGACGGTGCGGTCCTGGGATGCCTTCAAGGGCCTCTGGCATTTTCAGAGACCACCCACTGCTGTCTGTGAGGGTGCGTGTTTCTCATTGTACTCTGGAAACAGGTGACCCTTGTTTAGTATCCAAGATGAGGAGGAGAGGGGAGAAACCTATTAATTAAGGGGCACTTTTTCTGTCATTCCAATAGAGTTTCAGCCTCCATGTGTGTGCCTTAGCAAATTCAGCTACACCCCCCTTAGGCAGGAAGGAGGGGAAAGGAGGCAGAGAAGAATTGGACTCCCACCTGATTCTGTGCCCCTGCCCCCTATCCCTGCCCCTTCCCTTGTTTATTCAGGGCTGAGTTTCCCCTTCCCTGAGGAAGGTAGGCCACAGGTCACGGACAAATAAATAAAAATTCATGGAATTAAGTTTTAGCGTTGGGCCATCCAAGGGCCTACATTCCTGAGATTTACTAGTGACAGGAGTTTCTGCCCTCTGCACTCACTTGGCAGCCAGCCTCTCCAGTCGCACGCACGTAAGGTCCAGCTCTGCAGTGGGCCAGTCTCTCCACACTGAGTTCTCGGCCGGGTTTAGCCCAGGCCCAGGGTCTCTGCCCCACCTTAGCTAAGAAGTATAGAAAATTACAATTCTAGCTGAGAAGACTGATTTCTCAAGTTTTCTCACAAACAAAATACTGTGCAGAATCCCACTATTTTCAAAATAGGTAAAAATAGAGCAGCTCTGGTTGAGTTAAAGGCTGGAGAGCAGAGCACCCCCCCCCTTCCTGCCTGTAGAGGACCCCATGGGTGTGCAGATGACGGCCCGCTGCTCCTGAGCAGGCCAGGGGCTGAGCCGTCATGCCCTGCCCTGGTGGGGGCCTGGCCATAAGCCCCAGCACAGCCCCCAGTCCTGTCCAGGCACAGAGCCCATGGCTGACCAGGGGCCTTCCGTCTCCACCAAGCTGCAAAGCCCACCGTCCGTCTCTCCTCACAGGCTGACGCCAAGATGGTGTGTGACGTCGTGAGCCGGATGGAAGACACTGAGCCCTTCTCTGCAGAACTGCTCTCTGCCATGATGCGACTCTGGGGTGACTCAGGGATCCAAGAGTGCTTCAACCGGTCTCGGGAGTATCAGCTCAACGATTCTGCCAAATAGTGAGTATCTCAGGCAAGAGGGAGGCCTGGAGCTGGCAGTAACTCGGGATGGAAGGGGGTGGGCACTGGGGCTAGGAGGGAGCCTTGGGTAAGGCTGTGTCTGCCGAAGCCATTCCACGGCAGATGCTGGGTGTCAGGAGGGAGCAAGAGGGGCTTCTCTTCCTGCCCACATGATGAGGAGGTGGCTGGAGAAAGCAGAGGGATGAAAAACCACCAGATAATGGAAATTCCCAGGGGCTGGGGACTTGGAGTGTATCTGGCACCACACATGAGGGCCTCCTGGAGAGAAAGCCCCTGGCCTTCTACGCACAAATCAAAAGTCATGCTGGTGGAAAATAACTCAGATGGTGCCGTTTTGCTTTATTGTAGAGAAAATAGTACATTTCCCATTTCTCTATATTTAAAATTAAAAATAAATAAATAAATGACTCCAATAAAAAAAATACATAACCAGACTTATCTTTAATAATGTGATTAAGGGAAAGGAATGGAGGAAAGAAGGAGAAGGGAGCGACTGATGAAGAGAAAAGGGAGAAGTGGGAAGCAGTGAGCCCAGAGCAGGCAGAGGGACAGAACGGGGAAGGGCAGAGGTGCCCAGAGCTCTTCCCGGGGCAGAGTGGGTCTCAGGCCTTCCTGCCGCAGCTGCGTCACTCTAGGAATCTCTGAGGGCATCCCCATGCTTTGGAGTCTCTGAAGGTCAGTGTTAGTCAAAGATGAGTCTCCTGCCATGGATTGAACCCTGGCTTTCAGGAAACACACCCCCATCTTTGCAGTCCCATGCCCAGGCGTTCAGCAGTAACTTCCCAGGAGGAGCCCCTGGGCTTTAATCGACGCTCAGAGGACTCGTGTGCTCTGCCCGGAGCCGATTCTGTGTCCTTGCTCGTGCTTCTCAGCTGGGCTCTCTGTAACCTTGAAACATTTTTGATAGTCGTGACTAGGACAGTGCCCTGGCATTTAGTGGTTAAGGACAGGGCTGCTGCTAAACAGCACACAGGATGGCCTCTCATGGCCAAGAGCTACGTGGTCCTCACATCCCCAGTGCTAGGGATAAGAAACCTGGTCTGTATGATGCCGAGGACCAGAGGCCAGGGCAGAGGCAGGCACAGGCGGACACTCGGACATTCCTGTTGGCCGGGGCAGCAGCTAACCAACTGGGCACTCAATAAGGCCAGGAGCCTCACTTCTCATCCCAACTGTCTATCCACAGCGTGATTCCTGTGCACCCCAGCTAGTGGCTGCCAGGTCCCCAGGCTCTGATGAGCCCCCAGAGACACCTTGTTGGGAGGTGATTGGAGCTCAGGTGCTCTGTGTCCACAGCAGCCTGTGCTCACTAAATCGCAGACCCAGAACCAGGCCTCTGCCCTGTGTCCGAGTCAGGGCAGGAAAGCGCACCTTTCTGCTGCCTCCTTCAGGACCACCTGAGTGTTCCACAGCCCTTGGAGCCTGGAAGCCAGAGCTCCTCCTTCCCTCCCTCCCTCCCTCTCGGCTCTCTCTGAGCCCAAGTCCAGGACTTCCCTGCCTCCCCTGCTGGTGCCAGCAGTACTCAGGGCCTGGACCAAGTCTATGGTCATCTTGCTCACCACCTCCACTTCTGTCCATTTCACTGTTTATAACACGCAACACGGGGAAATGTAAGCACTACAGAGGTGCTAAGCGAAAAACACCCCCTCCCCCTCATGACCCACTCCCACTTTTAACCATTTGTCCCAGCGGTGTCCAGAAAAAATCGTGACTTCCCTGCCCCCAACTTTATATTTCCTGGCCCCTGCCCTCCACTATGAAATCTAGGGAATGCAGCTCACCTCCTTCTACCTCCAGCTTTTTGCTAGTTACAGGATTATTTTTAGTTCTTCCAGTGGTTACCTTTATAACTTTAAATAAGAAACTTGAGTCAGTATTAGTCAACTGCCCACCAAGTGAGCTGGGAACTTCACTTTTCTTCTCTGCCTCGTCTCTGCCTGCTTTCAGATTTCCTACTGCCAGGCTGTGTAAACCTGGCATTCTCTTCTGCTGCCATGGTCAGATCTTCCTGGTTTCACCTCCTGGGGAGGAAAGAGACTAGACTCACAGACCCCGCACGTTTTCTGGTTCAGAGTCGGGCTGTTGTTGTTTTGTCTTCTGATGAAATCTTGGGCCCAGTAAGTAAGACAGATAAAAAGGAGTGGAGCCTGGTAAGGCTGTCACACTGCGCAGTTCCAAGGCTCCCCATTTACATCTTGAAGCCCCAGTCACCAAGTACCCCCTGAGCCCGGTCCTCTGCAGGGGAGAGAACAGGGCTAAAGGAACAGGGCCAGGTGCTCCCAGGCTCCTGAGCAAATGGGGGCCTCTGTAAGCGTGGCAAACTCTCTCCTCTGAATCACCGCTCTGAGAGTCACAGACACCCCGAACATCAGGGCTGCACAGTTAGCTCCATGTTGCCTTAGCCTTGGTTTTCCCCAGTCCTGACTGGTCCACACTTGCTGTGGATGAGGCTCCCTCCTCTCACCTTCCCTCTTGAGCCCGTTCCCATAGGGCTCCTCCTCTCTACCCACCAAGACTCATATTCAGGTCACCCACGGCTACAGCTCAGCTTCCAACTTCCTCTTCAGTGCTCTCCTGTACAGCCATAGACCTCCTCTCAGAGCTCCACAGAGATCTGGTTCAGAGCATGGACCGAGCTGGGCATCGAGGCTAAGCCTTGGCTCAGAGCTGTGTGGCCTTAGGTACTTCACTGAGCCCCAGTTTTCTAATCTCTACAAGAGTACATTTAACTCGGAAATTAAGGATGAAATCTGATCACTCATGTAAAGAGTATAACCTACTGGGGTCAGCAGGTGATATAGTGGTTAAGGCACTGGACTCCCACATGACCAACCTCAGTTCAAATCCCAGCCCCAGAGGCATGAAACGCAAGGTGCATGTGCGTGCATGCCCAAAATCCCAAGAGGAGAATGGAAGAGAAGGGATTGCAGCGTGGCCATCTCCCCTGGGTGGTGATTTCTCACCTTCTCTCTCTCTGTGTCTCTGGCAAGCACACATGCCCTATAGCAAAAATCTCTCTAAAAAAAAGAAGACTAGAACCTACCTGTCAGGCATTATTATTTTTAAAATGAAGAAATGATTAACAGTATTATAAGTATGGCATCTCACTTGACCGTCTGTCTCATCTGAGTATGCCTGGAGTGCATGTATAGCCCCTCTGGCCTGAAGTAGAGGCTCTTTGAAAGTACCAGGCTTCGGCCATCGACCTTCTTCCTCGATCATCCTCACCTCACCACACCAGCCCTGGATGAGGTGGGGTCAACACTTCCACAGCCAGCCTGTGAGGAGCTCTGGCTGAGACTGGACTCTGAAGGTGGTGGCCTGGCGAGCCTCGAGTAATGCCCAGGTACTCGGTCCATGGTCCCTTGTATGTTGCCATCCCCAGCTACCTGGACAGCCTGGATCGGATCGGGGCCGCCGACTACCAGCCCACCGAGCAGGACATCCTCCGAACCAGGGTCAAAACCACCGGCATTGTAGAAACCCACTTCACATTCAAGAACCTCCACTTCAGGTGAGGCCCACGAGACACCTAGCCCTGGTGAGGTCACTGAGAGATGGGAGTCACCCAGCCTGATTGTGCCCTGCTTCAGCTTGGGGCTGGCAGAGAGAGGCGCAAAGCTGTTTTCTCCCAAGCTGGGGGCTTGGCTAAGCAGGGAGGCTTCCTGGAAGAGGATGGGGCTGAGGGACACGGAGGATTTGGATGGACAGAGGCAAGGAGGCCTGTCCCTGAGATGGCTTTTAGGGAAGAGGAGGAGGTGGGTCAGCCAGATGGCCTGCTGATGGCTGCCATGTGAGGAGGGGTGGGTAAGCCAAACAAGATCTTCAAGGCCTGAAGACCCAGAGACTCTCAGAGCTGGGAGGGGCTAAGAAAGCAGCTGACCTACCTCCCCTAGTACATATGAGGAAGCTGAGGCCTGAGAGGAGCGAGGCTTTTCCCAGGCACTAAGGCCAGCTAGGAGCCAGGGGCTCTGAATGCCTCAGCTCAGGGGCCTGAGGTGTATCCCCACTGGGCTCACCTTTACACACTTAGGCCTGGGACCTGCCTTTTGGGTGTGGTTCCTAGGTATCGAGTGAAGCAGAGAGGTGGAAGGACAGAGGCAGGCAAGGACCTCAGGCCAGGGGACAGGTGGGAGGCCCTATCCCCTGACTCACTGCCCTTCCTGAACTAGATTCTAGGACCATTTGCCTCTCTTCTCAGCCCCTGTCTGTTCCTGTCTACACTGCAGGGGGATGACCTGTCCAGGGTCCTGAGCCAACAGGCAGCCTCTCTGTGAGGCCATGGCAACCACACAGGGTCCAGGACCCTCTCAGACTCCACTGAACTGGGGTGCACCGTGATGAGCTCAGCAGCCCCTGAGGTGCCCCCTTACCTCCCAATCTCCTCACTCTGTCCTGCTCCCCGTCAGGAATACAGCATAGGGACATCCCCCTGTCCTTGGCCTCACCTGCCACCAGGCTGAGGCTGAGATTAAGCATTCTGGAGGGGCCACAGAGACCATCGGCCACCCCTCCTGTATTTCAGGGGAGGCAGGGTCCATGGGAAGTGGTGACGGGATGAGGACAGACTCGTGTCCTTCGCCAAGCCCACTCTGGCTGTGACCTCTGCCTGCAGTTGCCCTCTGCTGTCTGGAGGGCTGGGGTGAGGGCCCCTCTTTCTCTGTGCCAACAAGTCCGAGGTCTAGGAGGCTGTGGAGCATCTCCCTCAGGGGATTCAGGTGTGAGGCGGACTTCTTCCTTCCAGGGCATATGTCCCCCCACCACCCTGCGCTCTTCCATAACCCTGTGCTCCCTGGGGGATGGAGTCCCAGGAGAAACGGCCCGGCTCCGATCTGCTGTGAGGGGCAGTGCAGGGCAGAGGGTGAGCACTGACTGCTGCAGGCGGGCCGGGTCAGACCCCAGCTCCACTATGGCTGGACTCGCCTGGACGCACCTGGACTTGGCATGCCCTCAGTCCCACGGTGCATTACTTTTCCCACCCACATCATAGGTGACGCTTTCAGCCTGCCTGCCCCCCAGGAGTTTACCCAGAGCACATGCTCAGAAAGGAACAGAATGTGGGTGTTACCATGAGAGCAGGACTCCTCAGGGGCCTTTCTTAGGGGGCAACTGAAGTGCACCCCCTTTATGAAACTCCTCAGATGCCAGGGCAGGTCTGAGTCACACTATGTGTGAGCAGAGACTCCCAGAGGCAGCAACGGCTGTTCCCGGCCCGGGGATGGCAGTGGTCTGCCATCAGTCAGTCTGTCAGCACCTGATGTGAGACACCCCATGAGGCACCAAGCACGGTGCACCCCCCTTCCTGTCTCTCAGAGCACGCTCGCATCCCCCACCTGCTGGGACCCTGCCGCCCACCAGCTTCTTCATCTCCCCGCAGGCTGTTTGACGTCGGGGGCCAGCGATCTGAACGCAAGAAGTGGATCCACTGCTTCGAGGACGTCACGGCCATTATCTTCTGCGTCGCGCTCAGCGGCTATGACCAGGTGCTCCACGAAGATGAAACCACGGTGAGTGGCCCTGAACCTACTAGGCAGGGGCAGCATGGAGGGGCGCCAAGAGCACTAGCCACAGAGCAGGCCAGCCCATGGCAGTTGGGCCTTGCTGCCCAGAGCAGCTCTGTAGTTGTCAGCTGCAGCAGCCAGAGGTTTGTCACGGATGGGCCACGTGGCTCGGTTGTCTGACTTGATGTCGCGGGCTGAATGTGTAAGACACACCAGGGTAGCAAAAGGCACCGTGGGCCACCTGGCTCAGAGCCTTTGTGCAAACCTACCACAAGCAGCTCTGCAGTACTGGGGTCCGGGCAGCACATGCCCCTTTGGTAAACTTGGTAGGGTCATGGAGGCCATCAGGCCTCAGAACAAAGTTAGGCAAATCCCAAAAGCACCAGGGTGTGGCCAAGCAAGAATGCACATACAGGAGAAATAGCAGCCTTGGCCCTGCCAGGTCTCCCTGGAGCTCTGGCCTCAGGTGTGGGCGTGGTCTCTGGAGCTGTGGCCTGGGAAGGGCTGCAGGGATGGAGCAGACGGGAGTGACAGGTGTGGCTCCAGGCTCCTTCTCTGTAGGATGCCAGATCCTGCTCCTTCCTCTGGCCTATGCATCCGCGTTCCACCTGGGGCCTTTAGCTCTGCCTCTGTGAACGGCCAGATGGGCTTCTGAGGGGGGACGCCCACATGGAGAGAGGTGTGGCCTTCCTCTGGGCCTAGCCCTGGCTACGCTGTCCCTGATTTGCTGTCGAATATAGGCAGTCCCCTTTCTGCCTCTGTTACCTTTACCTGTAAAAGGGAGATAATAATAGTTCTTGCCTTGGAAAGGGAGTAGAGGGGTATGGCTGGTGGCGATGGAATGAGACCATGCATTGCAGTACTTTGGAACATTCTAGCACAATAGCATTGCACAGGTGGTTGTACTGTCGCAGATGATTGTCCTGAGCTGGAAGGTCCACTGAGCAGTCCCTGTTGATGGGAGCCTTGGGCTTGTCCACAAATCTTCATAGGAAACCAGGCCTCAGGTGTGGTCACAAGGTTTCCAGAGACAAGCCCCAACACTCTTGGGTTTGGAGCTCATGGGCCATGGGGTCACATGCTGGCATTTGTCATCTTCTGTCTGGCGCATGCTCAGACCCTTCGCCTGAGCCTCTTGGTCAGCACTGAGATGTGAGGTGGGTCTCGTGCTTATGGCCTTGAGCAAGGCTGTCTTCCCTCTGGATCCGTCTCCCACAGCGCTGTTGTGAAGATGGACGCGTACTGGGGCATGGGCTGCGGGCAGAGTGCTCTGGGGGGTGTAGAAGGAGCCGCCACCCTGAGGGGCTTACACTGAGTGCTGGGGCTTTTGGCAAATGGAGGCCCACTGGCTGGGGGGGGGGGG